GACTAGACCACTGTTAAGTCTATAGACTAGATCACTGTTTAGTCTATAGACTAGAAAGCTCTTTAGTCTATAGGCTAGAACACTATTTAGTCTAAAGACTAGATCAATATTTACTCCATAGACTAGTTCTTAGTTTAGTCTATAGATTAGAGCACTATTTAATCTATAGATTAGATAACTGTCCAGTTTATTATATAAATAGATGTTTAATCTGTAGAAGAGGTCACTACTAGATAGCGTATTAAATAAATCAATGTCCAGTTTATAAACATTCTACTCTTGCGGCAAAATCTAGTCCAGTCTATAGACCAGATTACTGTTTAGTCTGTAGTCTATAGACTAAACCACGGTCTATCTTAGATCATTATCGGTTCTATTGACTATTTAGTTTAGAACAGATCGCTTTTTAATTTATACATTAAACTACTAATTAGAATACACACAAGATCGTTTTCGGTTCTACTGATCAATCTGTACTCTCTGTATAGAAAACGAATGATATAGTATGTATGTGTATGAAGGCTAGGAGAAACCATTGTTCCATGTAAGCGATGATTTCGTTTTTAAAACAAATTTATTTAAATATTTCACCTACAGTTCAACATAAAATCTACACCGAAAGTGATTCTAAATTGACCATTATACATCTATGAGAACGATATTTTAATGTTTCCTCTTTAAATATCCCCAAAAATTACACAAATTCGATTTAGATAATTTCATAAAATTTTATAAAACTTTGATGATATTCTTTTAAATTTTACCATGAAAAAAATAACATCTTAAATCTCTAACTAAATTAAATCTTTCTAAACATAATTACAAAACGTTTAAAATGGATATCCGTGCATAAAACACAGAAGGTAGCAAAAAAAATAAAACATATAAAAACCGAACAGCGGGAATGAAGAAAAACCTCTAGGAGGGGTATCGAACCTGCATGCAACAGTTGAGTAATATTTGCAACAAGTGAAATATAAGAAAAAACAAAATACAAAAATATGAAACAAAAAATTTCTTATACATAATTACAGGGTGGTGTATGTATACGTAAAACAACAATGCATTAGTATGTGTGAGAATCACAAACACAAGCACAAAACAAACAGGAGCGTAGTTACAAAATTAGTTGCCTTATCATGTGATTCTGAAACAAATCCTGAATTTGGTAACAATCAAATTGCTGAGTTTTAACACAAACTTTTAACATTTTTTTTATTTATCTTAAATCATAAAAAATATCATTAAAAAATTTGCTTACAATTCAATGCGCATATTCTATTTTTTCTGCTTGTATTGGTGTGTCAAAGGTTATAAAGTCAATTTTCAGTTACTCACTTATACAATTAAAATCGCATTGTGCTCTTTTAAATTCTTATTATTTTCGCTCTATTTACTTTTGTAAATTCTCTCTATTTAAGTTGTATTAAATATATTTTTGTCTCATTGTTTCGTAATTTTCTTTTTTTAACTGTTGCTTTACCTGTTGCTAATGGTATGAGCAACAGTTGCTAAGGAAATCGTTACAATATCTAATATTTTGATAATAATGAAGTTACTAATGATGTTGCACGTCATTTATGTGATAGGAATAATAATTATTATGTGCTGGGGTTTTGGTGAAAAAACGCTACAGTTTTTTTTTTCACGGGTTTTATAGTGTTGCAAAGCGAAAGTATTTTTAAATCTTTATGCAAAACTTTCTATAGATTTTACGATACCATATGGTAAATTTGAATTGTAATGTTTATACTTAATAGACGGTCACAGTCTTTTGACTACACAACTTTAATTAATAGAGAAGTAGTCTAATCTATCTAGTTTGTAAACACTAGAATGACTAGTCTGGAGACTAGTGTCTCGACTAGATCATTGTTTGTCTAGTCTATAGTCGAGTCTATATACTAAACAATGATCTAACATAGACTAGACAATAGTCTATGGACTAGACAATGATTTACTCTATAGACTAGACAATGGTCTACTCTATAGACTAGACAGTGAACTACTCTATAGAATAGACAATGATCCACTTTATAGACTAGACAATGATCTGTTCTATAGACTAGACAATGATCTACTCTATAGACCAGACAACGATCTACTCCATGGACTAGACAATGATCTACTCCATAGACTAGAGAATGATCTACTCTATAGACTAGACAATGATCTACTCTATAGACTAGACAATGATCTACTCTATAGACTAGACAATGATCTACTCTATAGACTAGACGATGATCTACTCTATAGACTAGACAATGATCTACTCTATAGACTAGAAGATGATCTTCTCTATAGAGTAGACAATGTTTTTCTCTATTGAATAGACGATGATCTACTTTATAGATTAGACAATGATTTACTCCATAGACTATACACTGGTCTACTCTATAGACTAGACAATGATTTACTTTATAGACTTGACAATAATCTACTCTATAGACTAGACAACGATCTACTCTATAGACTAGACAATGATCTACTCTGTAGACTCGACAATGATCTACTTTGTAGACTAGACAATGATCTACTCTATAGGCTAGACTGTGATCTATCCTATAGACTAGACTGTGATCTATTCTATAGACTAGACAGTGATCTATCCTATAGACTAGACAGTGATTTACTCTATAGACTATACACTGATCTACTCTATAGATTCGACAATGATCTACTTTATAGACTAGACAATGATCTACTCTATAGACTAGACAATGATCTACTCTATAGACTAGACAATGATCTACTCTTTAGACTCGACAATGATCTACTTTATAGACTAGACAATGATCTACTCTATAGACTAGACAGTCATCTATCCTATAGACTAGACAATGTTCTATTCTACAGACAAGACAATAATCTACTCTATAGGCTAGACAATGATTTACTCTATAGACTATACACTGATCTACTCTATAGATTCGACAATGATCTACTTTATAGACTAGACAATGATCTACTTTATAGACTAGACAATGATCTACTCTATAGACTAGACAATGATCTACTCTATAGACTAGACAATGATCTACTTTATGGACTGGACAATGATCTACTCTATAGACTAGACAATGATCTACTCTGTAGACTAGACTATGATCTACTCTATAGACTAGACAATTATGTACTCTATAGACTATACACTGATTTACTCTTTAGTCTAGACAATGATCTACTTTATAGTCTAGACAATGATCTACTCTATAGACTAGACAATGATTTACTCTATAGACTAGACAATGATATACTCTATAGACTAGACAATGATCTACTATATAGACTAGACAGTGATCTATCCTATAGACTAGAAGATGATCTTCTCTTCTAGAGTAGACAATGTTCTATAGAGTAGATTAGACAATGTTCTCTATAGACTAAACAATGGTCTACTCTATGGACTTGACAATGATTTACTCTATAGACTATACACTGATCTACTCTATAGACTAGACAATAATCTACTTTATAGACTAGACAATGATCTACTCTATAGACCAAACAATAACTTCCATATAGACATGAGTTTGATCTAGAATATAGTCTAGACAATGATCTGGTCTATCTATATGTATATAATAATAATATGTGATCAAGGCTATAAAATAAGCAATGATGTTCTATAGATAATCTAGACTTAGCAGATTAGACTTTGATCTATACAATAGTCAATGCTTTTGTCCAGTTAATAGACTAGCTAGTGCTCCAGTCAAGAGCTTGCAATTAAAACCACTTACCAACACTATAGCAAAAACAATTATTCTCGGCGAGAGTTATTGCAAGTGTATAAGTGAGTACAAAACCTGTCACACACTAACACAGAGAAAAACTGGGTGCAGCTTTAGAAACACTCATACATAACGTTACAAAGAAAACTAAAAAGGCAACAGGTACAACTTGTAGAATATTACCCCTGGAAAATCAAACACAAAGAGACCGAAAGTTAGTGAGAGCAAAAACGTGTTTTTTTTTTAAATAAAATTGTTTGTATTTAAAATTCTTTCTTTACAAAAACAAACAATATGTATAAGAACCTAAAATTCCCCTAGAGAAAGCGCAACAGTTAGAGGTGCCTGTTGCATGTGACACAATGATGAAAAAATAAAATAGAGCTTTTTTCCGAAAAGTATGCAGTGGTTTGAAGTGTTTAGAAAAATAAAGTGTTGGTGTGTGTGTGTATGTGTTTGAGTTTTTGTTTAGAGAATGTAAGGAAGGTGACAGATACCGGAAACGGATATGTCGCAATGTTGTGCTCTAGCAACAGCAACAGTGGAAAGAGATTTTAAATTGTTATAGTTTTTTACATTTTTTATGGCAAAATTTTGCAATTTATCAGTGCAATTTTATTTTTTCCATTATAAATACTACATATGGAAGGGATTGTGTATGTGTGTTTATATGCAAGTGTTTAGAGCAATAACGTATTCTAGAATTTTTTATTACTACATGAGCAGAAGGAGGTATACATCGTTTATTATCGTTTGCTTTTAAACTTGACTTCGTAAATGTGGCAATATTCTGCCGTTGGTTGCATCACATACTTTTATAATGTTTCGCAATCACACGTAACACGATGTATACAACATTTACTCCATACCCCCCTGGACTTTGAATGGCTTATGTGAATGGTTGGTTGAATGCACCTATTGCTGGTGGGATTTTATTATACACTGTTCCCAGCCAGGCGGCCTAACTATTACTAGTGTCATCATTAAGAAACTTCATTATCATTATGAATATCCCCCTTGCATCGTTATCGCCATCATCAGCATCTCCATGATGAGCATCGATGAACATCTGCATGCAACATATTGTAGGAACATATAGATGAAGTAGAAAGCAGTGGCAGAATACTCGTTATTCTTTTTTTCTTTATTAAAAACGGGAAAACAATACTACATACAACGTTAATACAGCAACAAACATGAATCATGAATATTTAAGTCATACCGCTGAATATTGACTGCAGTTTGTAAGCTTCTAATAACCGACTTTGCCTGAACTCAGTTGGTTAGTTGACGCGTTCCAAGACAGTTTGCAATTTGCTCCTACATTTAAAATACTAAATAAATATTGGTTTAAATTAGAAACAAACAAACAAACATACATACATTCACTCAACAAAAGCAATAGAAAATTTTAGAAATAAAATATTTTTGAAAATTTGAAAAAAAATATTTAAATTGTGTTTTTAAGAAATACAACGTGTAAAAATTTAAATAAAATTTTAAAAGTGCTTAAGTAAACATATGTGACATATCAATTTTGTGTGGAAAAAGTGTTCAATTGTTTTAAAAATATATTGCAAAAATTTAAAACTTTTATTTAAAATGAAAAAATTGTTGACATCTTTACAAGTTTAATTAAAGCAGTTTGTTTATTTGTTTAACAACTTTATTATGTCAAGGTAATTATTTATTCATATCTGTCTGTTTTATTTTTTTTATTAAAAATAAATAATAAAATCATTATCTTTACCGGCTTGTTGAACATTAACACCATAAAGTTTTACTTTGTCTTTTGCTACCATATGGAAAGTTTTTTTTTCATAGCTTGCAGCAAAAGTTATTAACCTATAGATGATGAAAATATATTCAAAGTGACTCTTTGTTTGGGATTTTTTCAAAATATATTTGCAAGTATGATAATGGAAGATGTTCGTGTTTTTATAAATTTTAAACTCTTTTAACATTTTTCAAACTTCTGCAAATTCTTAAAACTTTCATAAATTTTTGAAATATTTCAATTTTTTTTAATTCAAAATTTTTTTCAAACATCAAATAAATATTATGAAAAATTAAATTTTTAAAAAAGTTAACATTTTCAGACGAATTACAAATTTTTAAAGAATATGTTTAAAGTGAACAACTTTACATAAAAAAAAAATAAAATTTAGATAACTTGTACAGAGAAAATCTCTCAGTTTCTGAAACATTTATTCTAATGAAGTCTCTCAGTTTCTAAGAACTTTTCTATAGAGAAAATCTCTCAGTTTTTAAGAACTTTTCTATAAAGAAAATCTCTCAGTTTCTAAGAAAATCTCTAAGTTTCTGAGAAATTTTCTATAACGAAAATCTCTTAGTTTCTGAGAAAATTTCTATAAAGAAAATCTCTCAGTTTCTATGAAATTTTCTATAAAGAAAATCTCTCAGTTTGTGAGATATTTTCTCTCATTTTGTGAGATATTTTCTCTCATTTTGTGAGAAATTTTCTATAAAGAAAATCTCTCAGTTTGTGAGAAATTTTCTATAAAGAAAATCTCTCAGTTTGAGAGAAATTTTCTATAAAGAAAATCTCTCAGTTTGTGAGAAATTTTCTATAAAGAAAATCTCTCGGTTTGTGAGAAATTTTCTATAAAGAAAATCTCTCAGTTTGTGAGAAATTTTCTATATAGAAAATCCCTCAGTTTGTGAGAAATTTTCTATAAAGAAAATCTCTCAGTTTGTGAGAAATTTTCTATAAAGAAAATCTCTCAGTTTGTGAGAAATTTTCTATAAAGAAAATCCCTCAGTTCTGAGAGATTTCCTATAGAGAAAATCTCTGTTTCTGAGAAATTTTCTATAAAGAAAATCTCTCAGTTTCTGAGAGATTTCCTATAAAGAAAATCTCTCAGTTTCTGAGAGATTTCCTATAAAGAAAATCTCTCAGTTTCTGAGAGATTTCCTTTCTGAGAAATTTTCTATAACGAAAATTTCTTAGTTTCTGAAAAATTTTCTATAAAGAAAATCTCTCATTTTTTAAGAAATTTTCTATAACGAAATTTTCTCAGCATCTGAGAAATTTTCTATAACGAAAATTTCTCAGTTTCTGAGAAATTTTCTATAACGAAAATTTCTTAGTTTCTGAAAATTTTTCTATAAAGAAAATATCTCAGTTTCTAAGAAATTTTCTATAACGAAATTTTCTCACTTTCTGAGAAATTTTCTATAAGAAAATCTCTCAGTTTCTGAAAAATTCTCTGAAAATTGTCTATAACGAAAATATCTTAGTTTCTGAGAAATTTTCTATAAAGAAAATCTCTCAACTTCTGAGAAATTTTCTATAAAGAAAATCTCTCAGTTTCTGAGAAATTTTCTATAAAGAAAATCTCTCATTTTCTGATAAATTTTCTATAAAGAAACTCTCTCATTTTCTGATAAATTTTCTATAAAGAAAATCTCTCATTTTCTGATAAATTTTCTATAAAGAAAATCTCTCATTTTCTGATAAATTTTCTATAAAGAAAATCTCAAATTTTCTGATAAATTTTCTTTAAAGGAAATCTCCCAGTTTCTGAGAAATTTTCTATAGAGAAAATCTCTCAGTTTCTGAGAAATTTTCTATAAAGAAAATATTTCAGTTTCACAGAAATTCTCTATAAAGAAAATCTTTCAGTTTCATAGAAATTTTCTATAAAGAATATTTTTCAGCTTCAGAGAAATTTTCTATAAAAAAATCTTTTAGTTTCTGAGAAATTTTCTATAAACAAAATCTCCCAGATTCTGAAAAGTTTTCTATAGAAAAAATCCCTCATTTTCTTATAATTCTTATATAAAGAAAATCTTTCATATTTTGAGAAATTTTCTATAAAAAAAAATCGAAAAAAGTCAATTAAAATACAATTAATTTAATTAGCTGCCTACTTTTATTTTAAATGACATTAAGGGTTAAATATTCGCCAAAACCATTGAATTTTTTTGCAAATACAAAGTAGATTTTTTGAAGGGTTGATATGACTGTTTAACTGACGTTTTGTTGGTTGGTTGACTGGTTCGTTGCATAAATTCCCTGCAGTGCATTTAATTTGCATGTAATCTAATTATCCTTTTGGCAAAGTCATTTTAATTTAATACACATACATACATAACTATACACAGACACTTATATGAATACAATGACATTGTCGTACACTTAAGTATGTAAATATGGAAAGGATAAAAAAAACTATATGTCTATTACTACAAATTTAACATATGCTTTTATATTATTTTATATATAGATATTTGATATACTAGAGACATGAAAACAATGACTTTGTCGGAAAAAAAAATAAATAATAATACAAACCCTCACCAAAAGTTAAAAACTAAAAAGGAAACTTTTACGTATAGACCCAAAATCACGTTTCAACTATTTCAATATTCAAAACACGTTGTTATTAATTGTTTTTTTTTTCTATATGTGTTTGTAAGAGAGTTTTCACACATACATTATTCCTTATTTTAATACAGTGGGTATCAAAAGTAAGCAAAACAATATCATAACTATTAATAGTGAAGTCATTGCTATTCCACACTAACTTTACTTTAGATGATTTAAGAGGAAAAGTACACAGCTTTTGCGTAAAATTACTTCTAAGAATTCCTAATGAGTGGTAAAAACTCTTTAAACTCACTACATTTTGGACTACTTGGAGACAATAAAATAGCAATTTCGCCTGATTAAATAACATACATATCTGTCACAGAATCTTCTTAATATATAAATAATATTTAAAAAATTTCCAAGGGATCCGTTTCATACGGATACATTGTTTCCCCAAAATTTAAGAATCTACAGTCACAAACATATGTTTCTCACCATAATAAAATTTGTTTGTATAAGTGTTATATTTAAGTTTATTTATTTATTATATTTTACTTTTTGACTTTGTTTCCTTATTTACTCTCCTGCTTCTCTATTTTACTAATTGTATTAAATCATGTTTGTCTTGGTATATTAAGAATCATGTAATCTTATAAAAGGATTATACTTCTAAATCAAACACATACACACACACACACACACGCTCGTACACATTCCTACGTGCTAAGAAATTTGTGATTTATAAAATTTCGTATTTGTATTTATTTATTTATTTTTTTTTTTTGTGGTCATTTTTGGGATAAAGTTACAAAATTTTATTAGTTTATGCCAGAGATTATAGATAAATACACTTAAGATATTTTGATTATTTTTCTTAATGTTTTACTTTGGGGGGAACGTTGTACATTTCTAAGAAGAAAATAAATTTATTTTAAAATTGAATAAATCCTGGTCAAAGTTGAATTAGTTTTGAAGGCAAAAGGTAAAATGGGCGATTAATTTTGTAGATTTATTGTGGGCAGACACGTTGGTGAAGTTTAGAGATTATTTTGTAAATGTTTTATAGAAACAAATTAAATACAAAATATATTGATAGATTTTGTACTATTCCCAAAATGATCAATTTTCTATAAAGAAAACCCCACACCCCCTGAGAAATATTCCATAAGAGAACCTCTAATAAGCTGAGAATTTTTCTACAAAAAAATCTGCCTTAAACTGAGAAATATTCTATAAAGAGGTTCTCTTAAATTTTGAGAAATTTTCTATTAGGAAAATCTCTCAAATTGTGAGAAATTTTCTATAAAGAAAATCTCTCAAATTGTCAGAAATTTTCTATAAAGAAAATCTCTCAAATTGTGAGAAATTTTCTATAAAGAAAATCTTTTAAGTTATGAAAAATTTTCTATAAAGAAAATCTCTCAAAGTGTGAAAAATTTTCTATAAAGAAAATCTCTCAAATTGTGAGAAATTTTCTATAAAGAAAATCTCTCAAATTGTGAGAAATTTTCTATAAAGAAAATCTCTCAAATTGTGAGAAATGTTCTATAAAGAAAATCTCTCAAATTGTGAGAAATGTTCTATAAAGAAAATCTCTCAAATTGTGAGAAATGTTCTATAAAGAAAATCTCTCAAATTGTGAGAAATTTTCTATAAAGAAAATCTCTCAAATTGTGAGAAATTTTCTATAAAGAAAATCTCTCAAATTGTGAGAAATTTTCTATAAAGAAAATCTCTCAAATTGTGAGAAATTTTCTATAAAGAAAATCTCTCAAATTGTGAGAAATTTTCTATAAAGAAAATCTCTCAAATTGTGAGAAATTTTCTATAAAGAAAATCTCTCAAATTGTGAGAAATTTTCTATAAAGAAAATCTCTCAAATTGTGAGAAATTTTCTATAAAGAAAATCTCTCAAATTGTGAGAAATTTTCTATAAAGAAAATCTCTCAAATTGTGAGAAATTTTCTATAAAGAAAATCTCTCAAATTGTGAGAAATT